GCTCACAACAGTGTTCTCCCATCCTTCATTTTATCCTTACAACAACCCTATGAGATAGGTTAAACTGAGAGATTGTGACTGGCCTAAGGTCACTCATCAGTCTTCCATGCCAGATGGGGGATTTGAACTTGGGTCTTCCAGATCCTAGTCTAGCATTCTAGCTACTATGTCACCCTGGTTCTCAGTTCTAAACAGAAGAACACCCTTAAGCCCATGGACTTAGAATGGCTAACTCTGCTTAGAGCTACACTCAAAATAGCCTACTGCTTGAGTGCAAGCCCCCTAGGCAGAAGCTACTAAAGCTGGTTTGACTGATGAAGCCACTTTTATCACTCCCCTTAGCATTTTACCTGTCCATTTGAGATTGAAGGCCTTCTGAAACTCCTCTGTAACTCATGTGTTCATTTGAATAAAGAGCTACACTACAACTGTGAATCAGTAAAGGTTTAACACAGACAAGAGATTGTTCTCTGTATGCAACTTGTAAGTAACTATCAGAAATCTGTTCTCATTTAAGATGAGGAGCTATAAGTGGTTGCCAATTGCATGTTGTTTATTTTTAGGGTGAGTTTATAGCCTATATTAAGAAGTAATTAATAGTTTGGTATCTTATTTCAATAAAATTACCTTGATTAATACAAGCTATGTGGTGTAGCTTTAATCTTGTTTTCAATAAAGTTCACCATAAAAGGAAGTAACATACAACAGGTATTCTCTTATTTATCTTTACACTGGCCCCTGCCACACGGCAGGGGAAAAGCCCTTTAAAGCGCGGCTTTTAAAAGCCGCGCCAACGTTGATACGGCTCGGCGGGATCCCACGGATCCCCCGGCCGAGCCGCCTTTTCTCCCCGGCGCGATCAAACGCCGGAGAGAAAAGACGGCTCTAACCGGGAGCCGGCCGATCTGCGCATGTCGGAGCATGCGCAGTTCGGCTCCGGCCCGGGCTTGAGCCGGCGCAAAGACGCGCCGGCGATCAGACGCCCGGGAAGAGGCGCCTCATCCATTTGAACCACCGAGGTAGGTGGTTCAGTTTGAGGCGGTTCTTCCCGGGTTTGGGCCAGTTTGGAGGCGGAAGCAGAACGCTTCCCAGATGTTGTGGTGTGATCGCGCTGCTTTGATCCGCCTCCAAACTGTCCCGTTCCCGGGCCAAATCGCCTCGTGTGAACGGGGCCAAGGCAACTTAATGCTTGGATAACTGGAGCTTCTTTCTGTATCAAAAGGGTCTGAGTTCATCATCAGAGGCTCTGTTGTACAAACTCCTTTGTTTTGAACTATTTATTTATTTGTTTATTTTATTTAAGTTTAAATCCCACCCTATCCCACAAGTGGGCTCTAGGACTGCCAGCTCCAGATTCAGAATGCATAGAGTCTACCCTCCGAAGCAGCCATTTGCCCCACTGATCTCTGTCTGGGAGATCTCCATGCCCCACGTGAAGGTTGGCAACCCTACTGAACCCAGAGGAGCAAGCACCAAAACCAGGGACTTTTCATTGGTAGCACTTGTGCTGTTGAACTGCCTCCTCCAAAGAGTCTCAATAGGTTGCCAAGTCTGCATTCTTTTAGGTATCAAGCAAAGTCCTGTTTATTCTCTCTATCTTTTGACTCAGTGTAGTTGGTTTTAGCTTTAATGCTGTTTTAGGATTTTTTATATCTTTTCTTGTTTATTTTTTTATTATTGTATTGTAATGTAAGTCTCCTCAAATATAATGATGTAGAGAGTTCTGTGTATGCCCTGGTATCAAAGGTCCCCATCGTTTATAATTTCGACATGTACTTAAAAACTGTTGCAGAGGTGGTGCTTTTTTCCACAGTTTGTCATATCATAATGTTTGGAAGTTCTGTATTTCTGTGCAAAGCCTAACAAGTGCACACTTTATTGTGAGAATAAGTGTTCATGCCCTTGACCAAGGCTGAGCTTTAGAAGAGCACAAATGGTTTATTCCACTTATATGTATTGCCTGCCTGAGGCCACCACACCATGAATCCAACTAGAATCTGTAGAAGCTAGTAACTAGTGTCTCTACAACCTGAGCTGTAAAGTCACTAGTTATGTATCTGCTCTGTAAGAGCCTCAATTTGTGTTTCTGTGCTGGTGGGAGCAGCATGTGTGATTATGATTCACACCATTCCTTAGTTTGAATGCTTCTCCTATGCTTAGGATGAAGGAAGGGAAAGGTTTATAGAGAGAGTAAGATAATATGACCTTACTTCCCCGTTATTTACTAAATAGTTTGGAGATCCATCCAAAGTGGATAGATTTTAAAAATGCAGGTTTCCCCCCCCCCCATGAGCCTCCTCATCTGATCTTTTCAGGAATGTTCCTTGCTGGGGGGGAAATGTAAGGTGGAGTTTGAGGGGGAAAAGGAGGGGAATATTATGTGTATGTTCTCAAGGTGAAATCTATTAGTATGCTGGTTAGTGATTTTCTACAAAGAAAGTTGCTGGGGCTTTATTCTGTGTGAATGATATACTATTTTGTAATTCTTACCTCTTAATTCTAACTAAGTGGGAGGTAATAGGTTTCACTTGCTTAGTGGTGATTGAAAGAAATAATGTATATATTCAGAGACCCTCTGACTTCTTCCCGCGTCAGTGTTCTTTGCCCTGACCTGGACACCACAGGCTAGCCAGATCTCAGAACCTAAGCAGGGTTGGCCCTGGTCAGTATTTAGAAAGAAGACCACCAAGGAATACCAGGGTTGTGATGCAGAGGTGGGAAATGGCAAACCACCTCTGAATTAACACAATCCTAGTGGGGCATGAGCACAGCAATGTACAATAAAACTTTCACTCACTACCATACTTCATATTTTAATTCTAACTAACTGCTTCTCTATAGGAGGGAATCATCTCCTTGGGACCCTGCTGGCTTCTAGTCTACCCTTTAGATTCCCAGCTGTGATTTGAGTCAATCCTAGCTCAACACCACCAGTGATTTTGGGGTGGTGCAAGAGAGCTGCTATGTTGCATAAATGATCTGGTGTGATGCCTGCCCTTAATGTAGATAATCAAATACTAGTAAAAGCACAGATGCTATTTCAAAAGGGTTAAATAGGTGTTGCACTTCATAGGGAACAACCAGTGATTCTGGCAATCAGGAAACTCTTACAAATTAAGAGCCCGGTGATGGAGTTCTCTAGGATGGTATTTGTTCTTTCATGATGTTATTAAAGCAATGGTGCGTTATGCCGTTAGAGAAAGGAACTGCATGGATTGATATGCTGTTTGGATAGTAGAGAGTGTGTTGCTTTTTTGACCTATCTTTCAGAACTGCAAAACCAAATGGTTTTTCCCTCCTGGGAAAACTTCTGTCCATTGCTATTTATAAAACTCATTTCACTTTAGTTAGCAGGGCAACCCATGAGGCAATAGTTTTTATTTAAAATCATTGGTGACATTTTATAACCATTTTATCAAATATCATGCACTGAATTATTAAGTATGGAACTAGTCTTTTGGCAGATTTCTCTAGATCTCTAGAAAACCCACCACAATTTGTTGTTAGTGTATCAAGACCACAGTATATTCAAATTTAAATTAGCATTAATAAATTTCCCAGAAGATAATTCAACATAGCTTATAATGATTTCTGAATATTAATTTATTCCAATTTTCTAATGGTTGACCGATCATATTAGTGTAATATTATATTTACACTATAATCTTGATCATTTTTTCTGTGCAAGTAGTCTAGAAATAAATGCAGAAACAGCCTTTTTTCTAATAGAAACCCTTTATGATTCTCTCTGGTTTTGATTTGGCAGGAGGATGAAACTGGCTGCAAATTAGATTCTGCAATATACCTTGTTCCTTATTTTTCAACTGATTAGTTTCATACTGTTGGCAGTAACTTACCCTGTTGAATTCAGCTTGGGATTTTGTAGCAATCTTAGGCATGGCGTTCAAACCCCTGAGGGATTGTGTAGAGATTCTGTCAAACTCTTTTCGATGGATGTGTATTTCATTCTGTGGCTGTACTTTGTGCTCATTTAAAAGAACCACTCTTCAATTTGTAGCAGAACATTTTCAAAATGAAGTTTAGAGAGACAGGAGTCTCTCATGTTGACTGAAATATCAGTACTGCCTCACTTTTTGTGGGCTCTATTAGTATGAACAGAGCTCCAATTTACTATTCTTGTATTGCAGGTTCCCCCCCCCCAGTTTCTTTGTTAAATAAATATACAGGAGTATAGCAATATGCTTTACATGAATTACCTTAACCATAGTTGTACTGAGCTTTTTTTTTAAATAGCCTTACAACATGCTCATTATTTAAGAATTCTAAACCCATGCTAGTGACAGAGATCAAGTCTGTATTCAGTAAACATAAATACATAGAGTTGGACTGAAAATATCAGGAACAAAGTGACATCTGTAAAGCAGGATATTCCTCTGCTCTGTGTCATCCATTCAGCACTAGAATCTGTTTTTCTGGATCAGGGGACCCAGGTAAACTGTAAGGGGCAAAATAGGGGTCTGCAGCAATGCCCCCTCTAAGCTGTGGAGTCTTGTGAGCAAAAAGTCTACCTTGTGAGCTGCTGGCATTAAAGCTGTGAGTGAGCAATTTGGCTACTGCCTAAATTAGTTTGCTCTGGAGCCATCCTTCCTGAGCAAAGACAAAAATGTGTGAACCGGAGGCTAAAAAACTGTGAGCTAGCTCACATTAACTCAGCTTAGAGAGAACACTGGTCTGCAGTGGACAGATTAATTGGCACAATCACCCACTGTGCTGCCCTCTCTGCCAACAAAAGTGTTACTCCACTAGCATAAATGTCATTAAACTGGCACAAGAACATCTTTGGATCAAACCTAGTGAATGTGAATATGTTGTTGGATCAGATAAATAGATTGACTTATTGAAACCCATATTCCAATGCCATGCTTCTAGCCCTAAAAATCAGGACTTCAAATTTATAAAGGTGTAAGTTATAAACAAATATGTAAGCACATTGTTATTTCTGTATTTCAATAATTTCTTCCTTTCTTTGAAACTTACAGGTGTTACTTGGAAGATGGAGCTTCAAAAGGGGCCTGGCTGAACAGGTCAAGTATTATTTTTGCAGGAGGAGACAAGTGGTCAGTAGATCCTCGAGTGTCAATTGCAACAGCAAACAAAAGGGAGTACAGCCTTCAGATACAGGATGTGGATGTGTCAGATGATGGCCCGTATACTTGTTCAGTACAAACCCAACACACGCCTAGAACGATGCAGGTGTACTTAACAGTCAAAGGTATCAGTTATTCATCTTTTTTTTACACATGGTCAAAAGTAGTGTGCTTGAAAGAGGAAATTGAATCCATTAGCATTTTTATGTGCAGCAACTTTAAAACATTTAATGCCCTTCAGCTTGCTAGTTAGCTGCTTTTCTCAATGTAATGAACAGTAGAAATACAGCACTAAACACAGTCAGGTCTTCTTTTCTTTGCATGCAACGATGTGTGTACATATGTGCATATGTCATAGGGAATGTCTCAATTTGGCAAATAGTGAGTGTCAAATGTGAATACCTAAAACTAAGTATATCCTCAGATGTATACCGATGAGTTCAATATCCTCTCTCACATATACTTTCTAATATTTCTAACCAGTTCCTTAAGATTTTCCTGGCATGATATTCAGCAGATACGAACTTATGAGACACCGGTCAATATACTAAGCATGATGCTTGCAAATAACATGGTGTATGAAATATTTTATACAGAAGTATCTTCTTTCACTGCTCCAGGAGTAGATATATTTTGCTTTATTTGTTATGTTCCACATGCACAGCAAGTGCTCTGATCTTTCTCCTTTTGAAAGAATTTTCCATGATACTGGGCAAAGTACAGTTAGCAAGAGGTTCTGAAACTCTGAATATCAGAAATGGCCCAGCATAAAATTGGGTGATGGAGTTAATGAAAATTGCACATGTCCATTGCACATGTGCAAGCTCTTGCAGATACCTGTGTCTGGAGATGCCTCCACTGCCTGGCAGTCTCCTAGGCAACAACACAGGACCCTTATCTGGCATCAGAACTCCAGACATAGATGGAAGAACCAGCTGGGGCCCAATACTGCTGCATCCCAGAGAAGATGGCAGCCTTCAGCAGAAGCCAGGATAGGTCTGGAGAGGCCTGCACAGAGGCCTGCACAGAGGCCTGCACAGAGGCAAGCCAAGACAGAAGCTTGGAGGGGAGGGTAGTGAAGTCTGCACCAGGGCAAAAAAGTGCAACAGCAGCCCAAACCGAGAGGACTGGGCTTGAGAGGGCCAGTGAGAAGTAGTGATGAGGACTGAGAACTAGCAGCCTATCCCACCCAAGCCCTGGCATAACCAATAGGGCAGGATAGAGAGTGGGGGGGGTGGAGCCATCCAGCAGCCCAGTAGGAGGAACAATAGGAGCGAATCACTGTCCTCCTTCAGAGGGAATTCAGGAATGCCCAGATAAGACAGGTTCTTTTAAAAGCTAGGGAAGCCCAAAGAGGAGAGAAGGACAAAGCTCTGGTGCAACAAGAGTTCTGATCCTGGGGAAAAGAGAAGGAATAAGGTGGTGCAACCCCCTACCCTTCCCAATTCTGAGGCCTGAAGAGACCTAACCAAGAAAACCAGCAAGGCAGCTGATGGCAAGCTAGTGGAGCTGGAGAGGGAGGAGCCTCACAGCCTGTGAACTGCAGTGCGAGAAAATAACTGCTTTGGAAGGTGGGCTTTATGGCATTCTGTTCAGCTGAGGCCTTTCCCCTCCCCAAAGCCTGGTTTCTATGGAATCTACCAGAAAATCTCCAGGAATCTCCCTACCTGGAGCTGGAAAGCCTAGTCAGGACTGGTCCCAATGAGTTCTTCACAAAGGCCTACAAAAGGTTTCCTTCCTTTGTCTAAACCAAGCTTGGTTGCCTACCATGGCGAAATGGGCTCCAGTTTACAACTCGGCTGTTTGCCTCCCACCCTCGTCCCGTGGGTGTATATCACTCCTTAAGTTCGCTGCCACCACTCACGGAATCATCACTGCCTTTTTAGAGGGACAGTGAGACCCCTCTGGCCAAATCTCCCTATTTGGGCTACCCCCTCCCTTTGGTATTGTGCAGAGTGAGGGAGACTATGTGGTCAGAGCACAACACAGATTATTAGCCCAAATAAAAGAATTTAACTATATTTACACAGTTATATATATACTTTAGACTTACTATACCGCCCTAACCCCGAAGGGTCTCTGGGTGGTTTACATGATGCATTCTAAGAACTTTGAAACCTAACTTGGGCCACATATTTTTCTGGGGACAGGGCAGCCTACCGGCACCCAGGTGGTGGATCCTTGTTGTTGTTCTGGCTCTGCATCTTCTTTGGCAGTCTCTGATGTTTTTTGGATGGCAGTCTCCGGTGTCTCCCTTGGATGGCTATCGGCAGGACTGCGTAGGCGCATGTTCTGTGCTCGCTTCCGGCTTCGGCTCCGTCCAGCAAGGCTCCGCCGCGCCCGCGTACACACCGTCGCTCGCCTCCCGGTCTCCGCCTTTAGACGTCATCGGCTGCACGATGTTCTTACTGGCCACCAGGGGTTGCTCTACCGAGTTATGGAGCACGCGCATACTGTACGAGTAAGCAGACACCATGAACCAACAGGGCATAAATCAACAGGGGTTAAACGCAATCCTCTTTCC